ACAGATTGTGCATCAGCATAACCTTGTGTCATCACATATTGAAGTGACACAAGTACTTGGCTTTGTAGGGCCTGGGGACATACACATTTAGAAGTCCACACCATCTTTAACTATGGACTGCTACATTTATGAGTCACTTCAATCTAGACCATCAAGGCCCTCTTAGACTCTTTGGCATTGGTTACACATAAATAAATCACATGGACACTAAACTTTTTAAGTCATCTGGAACCAGAGAAAGAATCAAATGATACCTTAAATCTTATTTAAATGAAAAAATGTTTTCCTACAAAAGATACTCAATAAAATCAGAAAAGTGTTTCATTACATTGCAGAAATCACTGCAGGAACCTAAGATTCATGAAAAGTCAAGGAACTATGGTATCTCCAAAGATAATAGACTGATTCTCCATGAATAGATCACAATTGGAAGGAAATTCATAAAATGTTTGACAAAAGAATCAACATAAGGAAGTTAAAAAATCTTAATGAAACCACAAGAGGGTGTGGATAGGTGACACAATGAAATGAGGAAAACAAAACCAAAAACAAACAAAGCAAAAAAATCATGAGTAGGATAGTCAATGTAGAAATCATATCAAGTCATCAGCCTTAAACATAAAGAAATAGGGAAACCAAACAAAAGAACAGATTTCTAAACTTGGAAGACAGAATAAAGAAAACGACAGAAAAATGAAGGAAATAAAAAGGACACTTAAAGTATATAGAAATATTAAACAATTTAAGACACCATTAAGAGGACAATTGTTTATATTACAGAAACTCTGGGAGAACACACATACAGAAAGTACTGAGACATTTAACACATGAGAGCTAAAGTCCCCACATCTTCAAATTTGGACACAAACAACCAGATCCAAGAAGCTTCAGGGATCCTGACCACACCCATGCAAAAAGTATCTCCAGCACAATTTGGTACCGAATATGTGGAAGTACAAGACACACAGAACTCTAAAAGGAGTGCAGGAAAATTTCACATACAACTGAAGCCCCATTAGACAGACAGCCAATTTTTCCACAAAATTCATACATTCCATAAGGGAATAGAATGATATATTAAAACTCTGATAAAAATAATGGCCAACCAAGAGTAGTAGATCCATCAAATCTATCATCTGTAAATGAAGGAGAAATATAAGCAAAAACTTACAGAATTCACCACCACCAGACCAGAGTCCTTCACTGGAAACAAGGATGCTAACTAATATTGTGAAAATATACCTCTGTACAAAGCATAGACAGAACAGATACACAAAAAGCAAGAGAATAAAGCCTTGAAGAAATGGGGAAGCACAAAACTGCAAGATAATAAATAGATGTGGGAAGAAATGAAGGACACATAAAACATGACAACAATAAAATGGCTTGGCATACCAGCTCACACCTATAATCTCAGTACTTAAAGAGCAGAGTCCAGAGGATTATGAATTTGCTGCCAACCTGAGCTGCACAGCTAGATATAGCTTATAAAATAGACAAAGAAGACAGCAAAATGACTACAGGAAACTTAAATTTATAGATAATAACCTTGAATATAAGTACATGTAAGTCACCAATCAAAAGATAAAGATTCACTGAATAAACAATAACAACAACAACATGTCAGGCTCAATTACACAACTATATATTGGAAACCAACTTCACTGGCAAAGAAAAGCACAGGTTGGAAGTGTTGGAGAAAGATAAACAATACAAGGAAACATAAAGTGATGAGGGTTATAATATACTAAAAAGCAATTAATCAGAAGAATATGTATTAAATATAAATACATATACACTCAACATTAGACTATCGAACACATAAATCAGACACTGATAGACATAACTGTAGAAATTCACTGCTAGTTAGTTGGAGACTCTAGGGTCTGATTTTCACAATAGGAAAATAGTTCAAACAGAAAATAAGCAAGTAAGAATTAGGGTTGAACCATACTATAGAATAAAAGAACCTAACAGGTATTTAGAAAACATTTCAACCAACAGCAGCAGACTATACATCTTCTTCCTTGGGACACAGAATATTCTCCAGAATGAATCATATGTTAATTTACAAATCAAATACCAATAAGTTTGTTTAAAAAGGAATCAATCATATCAAGTGTCTTTACAAGAGCACAGTGAAATCAATGAAAAGTGTGAAACCAAAACAAAAGCCGCATTGTTATTAAGGAGCCATATTGTCGTATATTATTATTAAGTCTCCATATCTTACAAGAATAAGTTTTTGTTTCCTAAGCCTAACGCTTCCTGTAAACCATGCTTTACAATCTATGTTGGACTTGTGACCCCTTTGACTTGCTAACCTCCTTATTCTGTGATATGTGATTGCCCCTTTGCCTTATGAAATCAAGTCTTCCCAGACACCTTGGTGACCTTCCTTCCACATGATGCATTCTTGAACTTATTTTCATTACCTCTTTTCTAACAGTCAATTGTCTCCACAGCTGTTTTCTATCAGCCCTTCCCCTTCCTCATAAAAGGGACCTCAAAAGCCAGCGAGGGGTTAAATACCAAGTCAGGGTGAAGCAGCTGTCTGATCAGTCCCTTGTGCACCTCTGAATAAAAGCTTGCTTAATCAGACAGTCATGGAAATCTTTTTCCTTGGGTCTAACACAGATCATATGTTAGGTTACAAATCAAATATCAATAAACTTTTATAAAATGAATCATTCATGTGTTTTCACAGAGCACAATGAAATTAAACTAGAAATTGATGAAAAAAAGAACAATAGGTATCACACTATTAGAGCACAATGAATTTAAACTAGAAATTGATGAAAAGAAGAACAATAGGTATCACACTATTAGATACATGTTTATTAGTTGTTTGTTATAATAATAAATGAATACATTAAAAGTAAGTAGAAAATTTTCAAATAGACAAGGTAACAATACAACTCAAAGACTCAAAACTACAAAATAAAGTTAGCAGAAAACAAACATCAGAGTGAAAATAAATGAAATTGTAAACCAAAAAATCAAGTAAATGAGTTAATACTTTGAAAATGCAAACAAAATTGACAAATGTTTAGAGAAAAAGGGAGAAGAACTAAATCAGTAAAATCAGAAATATAAAGGAGACACCAACTGATACCACAGAACTATGCAGAATATACTGTGAGCAACTACGTACAAATAACTGGCACAGCTAAAGAAAATGTCCCAAAAGGAATAAATCTATCTATCTATCTATCTATCTATCTATCTATCTATCATCTATCCATCCATCCATCCATCCATCCATCTATCTATCTATCATCTATCCATCTATCTATCTATCTATCTATCTATCTATCTATCTATATCTTTTTTTAATACAGGGTTTCTCAATGCAGCTCTATCCTGGAACCCACCCTGTCCAAATATGAAATAGAAAATGTGGAAATTACTGTCTCATGGGCACCCTTTTTTTCTTTCTGTTAGTTAGCAAACAACAAAGAACTTTTTGTCCCATTTTTCTTTAAGCACCTTGCATTTTCTGTATTTTTTGATATCAGTCCACGTCAGTGTATGTAGCAGAGATCATAGAGTAGAAGAAAGGGACCTAAGATAATGCCTTCTTCCTTGTGGACATTTGGGAGGGATTTTGTTTGCCACATAAGGTTTCAGTCTGACTAAAAAGGTAAGATTACCAATTGAATCAACCTTACATGATAACTTCTACATGTTACTTTATTATCTGTGTGGAAACCCCAAAGTAATGTCATCGGCAACAAACTCCTGAAAAAAAAGTAATGGTTTTTAAAAAATTGCAAGATATGAGGTTAACATAGAAAAAAATGTCTGTATGCCAGCAATAAATGAATGCAATTTGAAATGAAAACCGGGATTATTTAGAATTCTGCTAAAGTATGGAATATTTCAGTACAAGTCTACTAATTATGGATGTGATTTGTATAGGGAAGAGTACAAAACTCTGATGAAAGATGTCAAAGATTGGTACAGTTAGGTGGTAAGACATCTCATGGTAATGTATAAGAGACTGTCTTAAAGATGTGGATACACAGGCCTCACCAAATTAGATATGTAGATGACAGTAAGGTATCTTGTATATTATAAGAAAGAATTTGACTCACACTTCTAAGTGAAATAATCAAGTTTAAAGGATTGAAATATGAACATGATTGCAACAATTTAACATTCCAGCAAAAACTAGAAAGACAGTGAATAAATCAACAGTTGCCAAGGATTCTGGGGAGGGAGAGAAAGATGCATTGATTCAACATGGTATGGGAGAGGTGACAGCAGTGAAACCATGGTGTGTGATATTGTGTTGATATAGAATTATGTGTTGACCTAAATCCAAAGACCTGCACAATACATAGAATGAAACCTAAAAACAGTATATTAGCATTGGTTCATCTATTGTAACAAACTTATTATATTAAAATAGAGGAAACTCCAAGGGTGGGGGAGTACATGAACGTTTTCTACTTGCTGCTTAAATGTTCTACAATCAAAATATTCAAGATATAAAATCTGCTACTTAGGCAAGAAATTTATTCACAGTAAGTGAATATTAGGTTAGAGGAAATTATATGCTATACACAGTAAAAATATATACATGAATATACATGCAACTGTACACTTTAAGATAAAATAGCTATACATTATTTTCCACCACAATTTGCAGATGTTATATTCTGTTACTTTCTGTCCCCTAATGTAAGGCATCTTTCACAGTGAACAGGCTAAACAGGAGGCAAACAAATTAAGGCATTGATGAATTCTGCTGATTTGGCAGAAAATGGCAACAGGACCTAAATGGATAGTGTGAGACTGTGGACAGGAAAGGTTAATCCCCAAAGGGCAGAGTAATGCCAGTCATGAAAGTGCATAGTTCCTAGGTCACATATTTTATTCCATACTTACCTCCTTCCTTGCCAAGAATTACAGTGGATATCTGATTACAGGACTGAGTACCAAAAGTATGTTCACATTTCCCAGTCAGTGAGAATGTAAGAAAAAGAAGCACGTACCAATTCATCGATGCTGATCATCAGCACACTCTCATATGCTTTACCTTCTTTATCTTTAATGTGGCAGTCAGATGATGTGACAGGCAGCAGAACAAGGATCAGGGGAGGAATTCCAAAAATATATCTAAAAGAAGCTGAGCCCAACAGTTAATGAGTCCAAGGTAGATGCCACAACATGTTATACAAGGTTGTGTTTAACAGTGGAAATGAACACCTATGTCTAATAATTTTAAAAATACATCTCCATTCCAGCACAACATAGAAAGAACTATAAAAATGAAACTGTATGACAAGGCAGTTAAATTAAGATTAGGATTAGGGTTTCTTGTTGGTGTATAGGTTGTATCCACATTTTATGCAGAACGGGTAGAAGGAAATCACAGACTTCTTGAAACATATCCAGCAAGGAAGGGAGTGACAGCTTTTTGAGCTGGACTTACAGCAAACATCCCCAAAAGAAAGCATATTCATAAGAAAAGAGGTATGCTACAGTTCCTTAAAGTCATACATTGTTTAAAATAAGTGAAATATGTCATGTGAATATTTATTTACATAGAAAACATAGTCCTCATGAAGATTTTTTTTTTGCTGGAGGAAGTTGTGTGGAGGGGTATCTCTTTGATGTTACACTACAGTGGTTCTTTGCAATGATGAACCTTACTCTTTTTTTCAAGAGGAAGTTATGTGGAGGAAGACCTCTTTGATGTTACACTACAGTGGTTCTCTGTAGTGATGAACCTTAGTCCTTTTTCTGGAGGAAGTTATGTGGAGGGGGACCACTTTGATGTTACACTACAGTGGCTCTTTGTAATGGTCAACCTTAGTATTTTTTCTAGAGGAAGTTATGTGGCAGGAGACCTCTTAGATGTTACACTACAGTGGTTCTCTGTAGTGATAGTCTTAGTCTTTTTTCTGGAGGAAGTTATGTGGAGGGGACCACTTGGATGTTACACTATAGTGGTTCTTTATAATGGTCAACCTTAGTATTTTTTCTGGAGAAAGTTATGTAGAGGGAGACCTCTTTGATGCTGCACTACAGAGGTTCTCTGTAATGAGGCATCTTAAGTTATTATAAGTTCAAAGAATGGGCTCATGTCCTCTCAACTGATGGTTTATGAATACTTTAGGTAAGTCTTGCCAATCAGATTCAATCAAAAGGAATGAAATGTTAAATCACTTGGGATAAATAATTAAGATGAAAACCAAGTGGTACAAAGAAACATTAAAGACCAACCTATTTTTAATGAGTCTACACATGTCTTGCTTTCATTTTTTTTCATGAACTCAGTTGCGTTAATGATATACTTACCACCATGCATTTTGTAAATTAACATTATAACAATCAGTGCTTAACATTTTATTTGTATCTTCTCCATTTAGAGTCTAAACAACATTTTTATAAACCCAAAGAACTGACACTGACATTATCATAAAGACTGCAAAGCATATCATAAAAATGTCATCTATTACACCATTATCCAATGATATTAAAAAGGCAAAAGCATTCATCATAAATTATAATCTAAGTGACCCATGGTTTGCAAATAAAGGGGCTTGGTAGAAGTAATGGGATCTCATAGAACCTCAACCACAGACAAAGAACTACAGGCAACTACGGCATGCTAAGCACAGTGAAGAGGAACCCCATTGATTATTCATTACATTCATGAATGCAAGTAACATTATATAAAACAAGCATGATATATGACTATATATCTGTATATATGACTAAATGTCCCCTATCTCTCTCCCTCCCCACATATGTGTGTTATGTGTGCTAAATAACAAAGAAAAGAAGGCCATGAACTTGAAGGAGAGTAATGGGGTAAATAGAAGAGGTTGGAGGATAGAAAGGGAAGAAGGGAAATGATGTAAACATATTTTAATTTCAAAGCCTCATAATGTGAAAAATGATTGGTTTACTAAAGAACCTGACTATCCAGTAGCAGAAATCAATCAAGTTAGATGGGAGAGTCAAACTAGGAATGATGGGAGGAGGAAGGGTGAAGTCAGAAGTCCACCAACCAGATGTAGAATAAGTCAGACATACAAAATGGGATAGAGATAAAAGCCACGAGCCTCTGGAATCACTTAGATTAAGAGAAATGGATTAAGTTGTAGGAGCTAGTTAATAACAAGCCTGAGTTATCAGCTGAGCATTTTGGGAGCTGCTAAGGGTACTGAAACTTCCACTAACACCATGATTCATAGCTTCCCATCTTCATATAAAACTAATACTTGGTATGATCAAATAATAATGCAAGAGTGGGCATGAACTCTGCTTAATACTCTTCACTAAATGATTCATAATTCAATTCAGATCAAAGATTGAGATCCTAGCTGCTTTTTTTTTTTTTTTGGTTTTACGAGACGGGGTTTCGCTGTATTGTTTTGGAGGGTGTCGGTCCAGCCCGACCTCGAACTCACAGAAATATGCCTGCCTCTGCCTCCCAAGTGCTGGGATTAAAGGCGTGTGCCACCACCACCCGGCTCCTAGCTGCTTTTAATTGAACTCCTGAGCCAGGGGCTATTAGGAAATCTGTCTATATCTATCTATCTATCTATCTATCTATCTATCTACCTACCTACCTATCCATCCATCCATCCATCCATCCATCCATCCATCCATCCATCCATCCATCCATCTTTCTGTCATCTACCATCTTATGAAGCCATCACTGATGATAATCTATTTATATATATGGATATAAGTATATGCTACATATCTTATTGCATATGCAAAAATGGCACACTTTTCAAGTTAACCTGCTTTTTATAGCAGTCTAACAACAGTTACTAAGATTAGATGTTAGCATGAGTCTTCTCTTTCAGTGGGATTTGATTTTAAAATGCCCACAGTCAGTTTTTTACAATACCATTCATCTAGTCTTCTCCAATTACCATTCTTTCACACAGGATACACAGTTACCAATCATTACCATATTTTGTCAGAACTATATACATTTTATAACAACGTGCTTTTTATTCCATCTTTAGCCTTACAGATCTCTAAAACTTAAGCTTTGGGAAGAGTAGACAGAGTAAAGAGATAGGGGATGTAACTTAAACTCAAAGCAGAATGTGATGAAGTCATTAGAAGATTAATTTGCATCTATATATAAGTTATTCAAAGGCCCATTTTCTGTTTAACAAGTTAATTTGTTTTACTTCATGAGATTCCCAGCTTTCTTCTTCATGTCAGTTTTCAATAATATGTGCTTCCCAGATTCATATGAACTTACGATTCTCTGGAGAACATTTTGTCAATGCTTTAGAGTATTGGTGGAATATTCTTTGCATATGTATGCTATGAGAAAATTTCAATTCTGAAACTATTTTTAAAATAAGTTTTCATCTGTAGACCCTTATAACCAAGCAAGATAGTTACTGACAGACCGGGGAGAGTTTAGAACATAGAGAATTGGGAATTTTGTTTTCATCTGACAATAGGCTATGTGACTGACTAAATAGTTGAATTTTCATTTAAACTTTTTGTACCTGATTTCTAAAATGAACGCTTTCATTGACTTCTTACTATATCTCTCTTCTCTTTGATCTCTCAAACATTTTAACTTTTATGTTTCTATTTCTTCATCCAAATAGAGACCAATCATATTTAAGTTGCCTCAGGCATAATTCCATAAACACACCAGGGCCCAAGATACCTATCTCATACGTTCCTGGCTCAGCCATCAACTGTGTGTACTTTCTTCTGGAACTGCAGTTCTTTCTTCCACATGTGTGCATGGTAGCAAATTAAGATTTCTTTTTCTTATTTGTGGGTGTTTCTAACACTGTTGTCTCATTGGGAATGGAATTCAATATTTGCCATATTTTGCTTCTTTTTGTAACCCAATACACTCACGAGTCCTTCCCTGAACTTTCATTAAGTCACAGATAAGATAAACTATAGGAACAATACAAGACATGTGTTGGCTTGTAGGATTGTCTTTAAATCTCCCAGAGGGTTTGAAACTGGAGAATTTGTTTTCAGTAGGGAATTTGGTTAAACCAGAATGGTAGCTGTCGAAAAATTCTTGTTGGTTTTTTATTGTAAGCCAAATAATACATTTGATTTTCTGCTGTTTAAGTTATGAGGTCAAAGTGAACATAAATAAATTGGCTTCTTCAGTCCATCATATCCAGTCATTTATCAGTTTCTTTAATTGTTTCTTTTATCTTTTGAGATTACAAAAATAATTTTATTTCTCCCATTCATTTCATCCTCCAAATCCTCCTATATACCCTTTCTTACTCTACTTCACATATATGGCCTCTTTTCTTATCAATTGTTGGTATGCGTGTTTCTGTATACATATATATTTCCAAATACACAAGAAAAACCTGCACAGTATGTTTAATCTTACTTATATGTGTGTTTTCCAGACTAGCCATTTGCATAACCAATTGGTGTGCTTTAACCTGATGAAGATTATTTCTCCCACACTCAGCATTTCTTGCTTGACTGTAATTCTTTGTCTAGGGTTGAGGCCTTGAGGGCGTTTCCAATCCACTTTAAGAAGTGTTCATTGAATGTCCTTTTGTATGACTGTTTCAACAAAGAATTCAATTATCCAGCCAATTCATGGTGTTCATGCATACAGGTCATTCACATTTTACAGTGGCAAATCTGGAGCCCAATAGTGTTTCTAGGAGAAAATAGGACTCACATCTGACATCCTCAGGTGTACTTGTCTAGGGATTCAGCTTCTAACTACTCAATTACACTGCTTATAATGGTAATTGCATGTACAGACAGTCAAAGAAAATTTTAAAAAATCATTGTCTTTTGCATGAACTTCACCAAGATATTTCCTGACCAAGCTCTGAAACTATAACACATGCTCCTCTTTCAAGGGAAAAGAGTAAATATTTAGACATATTATAAAATTATTTTTCAACAGTCAATATCAAAACAGTTCATACCCATGGGCCATGAAAATTGGTTTTGTGAAAGAACTTTCCAGTTTTGTTTAAGAGGTATACACATTGATGTGAAATGCCTAATTTTCCTTTAGAGCTCTTCAGGCTTCCCATTCATTCTCAATTCTGTGTTTCTCGTGATCTCACTTTATTAGCATGATTGCATGTATAAAATTCTTAAATGAGGCAGCATAACTGAAGGCCAGATAGCGAATGTTCATTCACGTACTGCCCCAAATAACAGGTCAGAAAGAAAGAATAGCACAGGGTACAACCCTGATAAGGAGCTGAAGCTTCTAGTGAAGTATTTTGGAGCAAAAATGAAGGAAGCCACTCACTTTACCTCAAGAGTTTAACATTTTCATATTCTGTTTACTAACACCTTATGATGCATGACTAATATGGACAGGAAATTAAGTCTATGTATTTAAATCACACACCTTTGCTTTCTTTTGTCCTTTTATCTTCCCAGATCATAGGTAATTCAAGGATTAAAATCAGGAGGGAAGCAGAAAGAATCAATTCAGAACCAAGGGTCTCTCGAAGAAAACAGGAATACACTCTGACTGCAATTAAATTCCTGGATTGCACCCTTACAAAGAGTACTTTCAGCGTTTCCTTGGATAGTCTCTCACGTCTGCACACCTTTTATTTGATTTCCGACAAGAACTTCATTAGGCTAGTTCTTGGTTCTCCAAGACATAAGGGATGGAAAGTAACTGGACCCAAGAGTGTCCAGGAAAACAACATCACAGAACTTGAGAAGGACAAGCACTGGGTAGGCTCCCTGCTCCTGCAGTCCCACACTTTCTCTTACTCTTAGAAGTATTTACTGGAAAACATTTCCTCTCCTCGCATTCCATTGTGTTCTCATCTACAGTCTTACAGCCTTCGTTTATTTGTTTATTTATTTTAGTTCTATCTACAAGTGGATTCCAGCCGTTGACAATTCTGTTCTTGTCAACTTTAAGTCCTCGTTTATTTAAAGCAAAGGCAAACCTATTAGATTTGATCAGGGGGAGAAGAATTTGTACTCGTGGGTACTTATAGTCCTATCTCCCTTTTGTAGAAGGGGAAAAAATCTGACTTTTTGCAATTCCAGCCTCGGGACTTGGGTTCCCAGAAAACAACATAACATACAGCCTGGGTCGGAAACTCCCAGAATTACTGAGGGGAGAAGAGGGGTTTTCCAATGACCTGTCCTTTAGGGTTTAAAAGCACATCCCTGAACGACTCTTTCATTCTCTATGAAGTTGTGAGCTTCGGGAACCCAGCAACTCCCTGAACCCAGGCAGCCTGTGAGTAACTGCACAGCCAGGAAGCGGGGAAGGGCTGCTTGGGCAAGTTTCTGGCTAGGGACAGAGTGTGGCTGACAGCCACTGACTTCTGAGACCTGGATGCAAGCGGCCGGCCGCAGTGGCGGCGCGACTCCTGCACTGGGGCTCTGGGTCTGGGGATCGAAAGGCGGTGTAAGGAACGGTTCCTCCCCTCCTGCCCCGGGCTGTACGCCCAGGTACAGATGGCTCTGGGCCACCGAGCTCAGCGAGGGTAGTGGCTGACCATGGGAGAGGCTGTGCTCCCAGCCGGTCCAAAGTGCAAGGCCGGGCTATTCCCGGACGTGCGGAGGCATGGTGGCTGGTGGCGCGTCCCGGTGTGTCCCAGAGTCCCCGGCGCGCTAGGTGCACCTACGTGCTCACGGGAGAGCAGCGCTTACCATGGAACATGGTCTGCGGGAGGTGGGTGTAGTCATGATGACTGGGAATGAAGCAGGAGCGAGCTCTCATCACCCATAATCACGCCCAGGACCCCGGGCATCCTCCGAGTGGCCGCACGCCGGTGCTGGGCTGGGCAGTTCGGGCAGCTGGCTCCTCTCACCCACGCCGCGCCTAGTTCATCCATCCCAGGAGGGGCCGCATGCATCACTGGCTGGCCAGACGCTGTGAGTTTGCCATAACTTCCGTAGGCTCTGCCCGCAGAACAGGCAGGATAGTTTCAGTTTCTACTTTGCGCTGGGTCTTCAGGTTCAATGTTAGGGTTTATACCCTTAGCGTCTTCCCCATGCACCTGGACCAGGATCAGTGCAAATTTCCAAAGTACCTCAGGAGAAGCCAGCTGGCCTTCTGGATCAGAGAGATTCGGCTAAGAGGCTTTCCAAATAACTTTTAACCGCTTTGGCAACTCTGGGAGACTGGAAGCTAAAACCACCGGTTAATAATATGTCCACAGAAGCCACACATGTGCAGCAGTGTGAAAGCTCGCTATTGCAAGTCCGTTCCACTGAGAAGGCGTCGCTGCTTCTGCCGCTGATGTGGCAGACGTTGCCAAGTCATCTTTTAAAAAAAAAAAGGAAGTGAAGAATGATTAAGAGGTCACGCCCTCTGCCCCCCCAAGCTCTCTAAGTTTCTTTCCTCCCTGTCTTCTGTGTGTGCAATGCACCTGTTCAGGTGGGACTTTAAGAAAAAATAATTCATAATTCATGTGAACCTACCTAGTCTACTAGGTTAAGTGGCAGCTTCAGAAAAATAAAATTCATTAGTTAGGGGACGAAGAGATTACTCATAGTAACTGCTAAATAATTCCCACAGGTGCGTTTACCTGGTAGGACTAATAAACTATCTTGATTGCTTCATTGAATTTTTTTTTGTAGTAGGCCAAAATTACCAAGGTGATCCCTGATTTAGTGCTGTTCCTCATAATCAGGCGAAGGTGGGTGGTGCAAACCAATAGCAAGAGAGATCGTGCCAACAGTTACCATTTATCTAGCATCTGCCCCGTGCCAGCGCTGTGATGAGCATTTTACTCGCACTGCAGCATCCAAAGCTTTCTGTGAAGCGTACTATTTTCTTATCTGCAGTTCAAAGACAGATGTGGGAATAGAGGCTTCCTTGAACAACGGGGCTAAGTTCACATAGTTGGCCTAATTAGGACAAAACCCTCCTGTAGTCTGGCTTCAAGGTCTCTGCTAGTATCCCCTGTGTAAGCAAAACCTGTGAATCCTGCAGTGTGAACAGGGATACTGGAAGGACAGTGACAGTGGTGGTGGGTCTGGCCTTATCCCTCAAGGGTTTCTGGAGTTTGTGGTTCCTAAACTGCCATCTGAACAGGCCGGGACTTGGAGGCGGTACAAGAGTTCCAAACTCTGTTGTGTTGTTACAATGAAAAGAAGCAGAGGGGAAGGAGTGAGAAGGGACGGGCTCTGTGTTGGAGGGTGTGAAACGAAGAGGTTCAGACTGGGCACTAGGCTGTGGGTTCTGCTGTTACTCTAACTTTTCACATTCACCCTATAAACCCGTGCTGTCAGTGCTCTTCCAAAATAAATGTTACCAGCTGACTACAGGCTGATTGAGGAGATTTCCATTGTCTATCTGGCCTGCATCCTTCTCATACCATCTGGAATTTGATTGCACTTACTTTTTTTTTTTTTTTTTTTTTTTTTTGCTTTTTTTGAGACAGGGTTTCTCTGTGTAACCCTAGCTGTCCTGGAGCTAGCTCTGTAGACCAGGCTGGCCTCGAACTCACAGAGATCCACTTGCCCCTGCGTCCCAGGAGCTGGGGTTACAGACGTGCTCAACCATCGCCCAGTTTACACTTATCATTTTTTATTAACCAAATATTTTTATTGATTATTTGGAAATTTTCGAGATAGGGTTTCTCTGTAGCTTTGGAGGTTGTCCTGGAACTTGCTCTATAGACCAGGCTGACCTCAAACTCACAGAGATCCGCTTGCCTCTGTTGAAGTGTGCACCACCAACTCCTGCCGTTTCTGAGTTCTTGCATGAACTAGGCGCTGTTGTTCTCTTGGGACCTGATCCATGCTCACTGGAGCCCCTGGGCCTGCCTTCCTGTTCCCCAGACAACTCCCCTCCACCGAGAAGGTTGCCTAGGACATGATTAAAATCCAGTATTACCGTGTGACAGGTTGGAAGAGAACTATGATGGCAACAGAGTGCTCCAAGGAAGGAATATGAAAAAATGTCCAGGAAAGCAGGAAGAAAAATCAAGGAAAGAGAAAGAAACGGGGGGGGGGGGGGAGACAAACCGAATGGGAAAAATCGTGAACTTCCAAAAAATGTCACTGAAACTTTTATGTGCCGATAGCAAGTAGAAAGTGATGGGCGGTGGTGATTGTTTAAGATCAACTCTGTAAACATGTCCAGGTCTGTGATTAAAAATATGAAACTCCCTGGCCCTGGCGTGGAAGTAGTAACAAGCCGCTCATGTGCTGTGTCCCCCCCCCCCCACTGTTGTTGGGCCTTTTGGGGTAGAGTCAAAGAACATCTATCAACAATGTGCAAAAGGGGAAATCCGTTTTCCTTTCTGGTATAGTCACTATAAAGCCTGACAGAATCAGGCTCATGCACAGGCAAAGTCTGAGGAAAAGGGGGCGAGGTGGGGGGGGGAAGAATCTAGAGTTCCAGTAAAGGAGAATTCAATTTTTCTTATAGGACTCTATCCCCAAGCACTAAGACTGTGCTCCGAAGAAAGTATTTAGAAAGTATTTGGAATTTTAAAGGTTATTTGAAAACAAACACCTTTGAACTGCATTATATTATGAGAGGATTCTGAGAAATTTACCGTCATGTTGAAAGAATCAATACAGTTTTTTAAAACATTTGTTTGCTTTCTATTACAGATTGAACATACAGACTGACAGGGCAAAGGTTTTCTAAAGTTTTAGAATGTTGATGATGAAATAAATGAAGTGGTAAACCAGGCCTAGTGGTGTAGACCTGTAATCCTAGCTACTCAAGAGTCGGAGGCAGGAGAATTACAATTTCAGTTCCTGCTTTGTCAAAGTAGTGAGACCATGTCTTTAAAAATAACGGAGTAAAAAGAGAACTGGAGATATAGCTCAAATATTGGGAGTTTGCTTAATTTATATGAGTCCCTAGGTTCCATCCCTAATATCACAAAGAAGATGAATACAAGGAAAAAGAAGAAAGAGGAGGAGGAGAGGCAGGAGAAGAAATAAGGCAAAGATACAAAAATGGCTAATACTGTGTAGTACAAAATACCCTAATAAATGATAGGATGCTGACTTAAGACAGAAAATTATTAAGGTTATCCAACTCTTTTTAACCTTCTACATTTTACAATTATTAAACAAAACAGTCAATTATTAATCTCTCTGTTGCCAGACCTGTCTTAGCTGACACTCTCTATTTAAGCCCCCTGACTATTGAGGTTGTATGCATGCACCAACATCCACGATGAAAATGTACTTTCTTGATTAATTATCTATCTCCAACTAAATAGGGCATCTATCTATCCATCTATCATCTATCTATCTATCTATCTATCTATCTATCTATCTATCTATCAATCTATCTATCTATCTATCTACCTATGTGTTATGAGATCTAAACTCTGTTGTACATGGACATTTGCTAAAGATTCTATGATTTAATATTTGAGGAAAAAGTATTAAGATAGTAAATATTTCCAACACACACACATTGTAGATGTCTGAGTTATATAGCTGTCTGGGACCCATGATTTCAGATATCCATTCTTGGTCTAATGTTATGGCCACAAATATTTTAAATTTTATTTGGACAAGGAGAATCTTCACTTTTCCCTAAACTTCATGAATTCAATACCTGAGTTGACTATGCATGCTCATTTTGAATAACAATGAGGTGATTTTGTATGAGAGGAGAAAATGTTAAATATGTCATTTAAATATTTAGTGTATTATGAGAAGGGAAAAATGAGACACTATTTTAACCAGGGAGTAAAGGGAGTCTAAACCCAATTTATTGTGAAATGAGTGTAAAAGATTAATTCACCCTTTCAGGAAGAAAATTCAACAATTTCTTGACCTATAATGATATATCAGAAATAAATTTCAAGTATTTACACAGAATGAATGCTAAACATTAACAAATGATAACTTATGTGTCACGATTTTTTCTTGTTACATTCTTGAATAAAACCATAAATTGACTATGATACTACCTTTAAATTTACTAAACTTCAGCTTGGAATTTCTAATTATACCCATAACCAGGACATGTTTGATCATATCCCTTGTGAGATTCAGCTAATTTTGTCGCATTTTACTAATAACACAAAAGGAACTGGGAAATGAGTTTTCTAAAACTCTGTAAAAAAAAAACAGTCCCATGAAACCATTCATCTTTTTGGAAGACATATAGAGCTTGAGAATAAAACATATTTAGTTGCATGGAAAGAAGTCTAAGGATAGGGTGTGACTTTCTGCTTTGGCCACTACTGAAAAAGAAATAGTTTGTCCTGAAGGTTCAATTAGAAATTAGGAACTCTGATGCCGGGGGGGCACGCCTTTAATCCAAGCACTCGGGAGGCAGAGGCAGATGGATCTTAGTGAGTTTGAGATGTTACACAGAGAACCCATGTCTGAAAAAACCATAAAGAAAAAAGAAAAAAAAAGAAATTAGGGACTCTGCTGTTGAGAAGTAAGTGTAACATATCAGGGATGGATAGAGCTATGGAAAATAATGAGGTTAATGAGCTTAAATGCTAGAAGAATGAAAAGATGATGCATGCAGGGAAAGACCTTGTGCTTCAAGCCATGCAGAGTAGATGGGGAAATTGAATGTGTGCCCACCAACAAAGTCAGCACAATGACAGCAAAGTAGGAAACTCAGCACTCTATAAAGCAAGGGAAGATGCATCATCAAAAGTCAGTAACTAGTGTTTTCAAAATCACAAAGAGTGCGAGAAAGAATGGCAGAAGCACTTACCCCCTTGGTTTGCTTAGTACTAAAGACATCCACACAAACAGAGTAGTGTAGGTATGCCTATAGCACATGGAAATGAAGGAATGAAGTGGGTACCATTTTGGGGGGAGATAATGATGAAAGGAATGGCCCCAGGTTTCACAAATATATCAGATGTAATGTAAGTTTTCTGTTTTGAGGCATGTTTACATATTTAATGGCAAAATTAGGTTCTGCTATGTATCGATTGTTCTATGATACTCTGAAATGTCCCCTGCACACTCACTAATACACTGCAGTAAAAAATATGGTTTGGTCCAGTATTTCTCATGTTACCTTTTGAAAACAGCAGCTGTAGAGTATGAAGTTTGCTTTACTTGGTTCGATTGTGTGCTAATGAATATGTGGTTGACAGATGGAGCTTTTAAAGTATATGTTAGGTCTGGGAAGGGACTACACCTTACACTTCCAACTTCGTTAAAGACTAGCTAATGAAACTGTACCTACAAATTTTTTTTACGTGAAAAGAATTCAAAGACATTGGAAAATGATTTTTCTTACATCCCTCAGTGGCTTTCTTTTGTGCTATCCAGTTACTATTTGATGATACTGAATTGCTGCTATGCATGCTTA